CCCCCCCTCTCCCGAACTCCGGTGGCACCAGGAGAAGTGTTAAAAAACGATCGTCCTCTAAAAGCAGAGGGAGAACTTACTGTGAGGAGCTCCACACACTGCATGGCAGGCTCACAGCTACGGCCACAGTGCCGGCTCAGCAACTGCAAAGTCAGCAGCAGGGGGGCGAGGCGGACAATACATCTACATCTAGATCTCTACAGACAGCCGCTGGAGCTGCTTGTATACTAGCACCAGCACTGGAGCCACTGCATCGCTGCTTAATTTAGCGGGGGGGGGCACACGGGGGGGCAAAGCATAACACAGGGGGGCAATTGCCCCCCTGTAGTGACGCCTATGGTAGGGACAGAACTAGGGGCTCAACAGAATTTTTCCCCTAGGTACCATGCCCCTAACGTTCCCTTCCCTACAAGCATGTGCGTTCCCCCATTGCATGAGATTGCATGTTACACTATTAGGCCCCTTTTACATGAGCGTCATCAGTTCAGTCAAAAAAAAACCCAATGAAAACTGAATCAGTTTGCACATCCGTTTAGAGCTGCAACAATTATTCGATTAAGTCGATTAAAATCGACGATGGAAAACGTTGTCAACGTTTTCCATCGTTAATTCAAATTTCCCGCTCGCCGCTGCACGCCGCTCACGCCCGCTGCTTACGCCACGACCCATGTCAGTTAAGCCGTTCGCGCCTACGCTGGTATACCCGCTCACGCGACGCCGCTTACGCCACGCCCACGCTGAGGACATGCGTCTGGCGCTCTCCTCCCGGTGAGCTTCTGCTAATGTTCTGTAGTGTGCCGGTGTATTATACATTGGTTTTCTGCATTGCATTGTATTGTGCATGGTGTTCTGCATTGTATAATACTGCGACACACTGCAGAACACCAGCAGCTATAAAGGAACACCAAATCCCAGCAATAAAACATTAAACACCCTGTATAGTGTATTATTGCTGGGATTTGTTGTTCCTCTATAGCTGCTAATGTTCAGCAGTGTGCCGGTATATTATACATTGGTTTTCTGTAGAGCTGCAACAATTATTAGATTAACTCGATAAAAATCGACGATGATAAACGTTGTCAGCGTTTTCCATTGTCGATTCGTCGGCTAAAATTTAAATTTCCCACTCACTACTGCGCCGCTGTATAATGTACTATATTGCACACTACACTCTTTTTTTTACTTCCACCGCGCCAAGCTTGCTCCCGTGATGGACTACAATCTCAATAGAAACTAGTAGTCCATCACTGGAGCCTTTTTTTATATCTGATTAGTCGATTAATCAAACTTAATAATCGGCTAACTAATCGATTATGAAAATAATCGTTAGCTGCAGCCCTACATCCGTTGTCAGTTCAGTTAACATGTCCATAGTATGGTAAATTCCCATGATTCTTTGCTTTCTCCCAGCATGCATTGGGCTTGCCAGGCTGCATGGGATCGGGAGCGATGCAGATTGCATCACTTCCGGTCCCTGGGCTGTCAGTGGGGGGGGGGCTTGTAAGCACCCCTATGTGATAGCAGTCAAAGTAAAGTAAAAAAAACCCAAAAAACTGTTTTTAAAATTAAAATAAAATAAATATAATAATAAAAAAATTTTTTCAAGTCCCCCGCCATGTAAACAAGCGCCGGGTGCGCCTACGTATGAAAGCGACGAACGCGCTACACATGTTGGGAAGCGCCGCGCACGCCGGAGTGAGAGCAATAATTCTAGGGCCAGTATTTTGGGGTATCTCTAAATTGATGACCTGTGGGGGATTTTAAAAATTGACTTTTTGGGGTACTGCAATTTTTCGCCGTTTCAAGGACGCACGCAATTTGTAAACTAGGCATGTTGGGTATTGTTTTACTCGTTGTAACCTCATCTTTTATATTTCATTAAAAAAAATGGGTATTCTGTTGTGTTTTGGGGCATTTAATTAAATTTGTCACTAAATTTTGGGGTTTAATAAGGAGTTGCGCTAATATTGCGCAACATAAACATTTGCAACTACCTCCATTTTATTCTGTAGGGTCTAGGCATTCAGAAAATATATAATGTTGGGGGGTTTTAAGTCATTTTCAGGCCTAAAATGGGGAATATCACATGGGTGCCAAAAATGAAGAAAAAAAAAAGGCCTCAGTCATGAAGGGGTTAATGCCACCACAACACACCTAGCCATTGCATAACCTATGACCACACATTCTGGTGCAATGTGTTTTTAAAAAAGCTCATTAACTGCTTTTAGTACTGGTGCCTTGCAGTGCACATGTGTTCTCCTATTGCAGAGATGTGAATAGAGCCAAAAGCAGAACTAAAGACAACTTTTTGTTATAATTGTGGATAGAGTGAAGAAGGGTTAGATCCCCTGTCAGATTTCTATTGCTGTGTCCCCCATTAGGAAGATTCACCCTCTCTATTTGTCCTGGTGAATGTTATCACTGAAATGGAAAGTAAAAGAAATTCACAAATTCACCGGAACAGGAATAGATGGGAAAATCTTCCAATGCGGACACCAATTCTGGTGACTCTGCTGACCACCAGGGATTTTCCTCTGTTTAAAGGGATATCCTCACTTACTGATGTGGTTTCTGACAGGAAGTGAAGGGAAATCTCCCCCATGGGACACAGATGGCAAAAAAAACTGCTGGTGCCTCTGTTGCAGACATCCCAACTCTCCCGGACGCTCCGGGAGTCTCCCGCTATTGGATAGCGGCTCCCGGCCGCCCGGGAGAGAAACACTTCCTCCCGGAAAGGTTCATCTGCTCGATCGAGCAGATAAACCTTTCCCTGCGATTGTTTTTTTTTTTCTTTTCTGACATCGGGAGCCGCGGCCCGACCGTCAGTCAGAAAAGAAACAAAAAGGCATACGAACCCATAGCTAGATTCCTATTGGCTATTGCACTTTGCAATAGCCAATAGCAAACTAGGTAATGTACCCGCCCACTGCTGCTGTCAATCAGCAGAGGGGGACCTGAATTTTTCGATCAGGTCCTCTTCTGGTGATTGAAAGCAGCAGAGGGCGGGTGCAATAGCTAGTTTGCTATTGGCTATTGCAAAGAGCAATAGCCAATAGGAATCTAGCTATGCATTCTTATGCCTTTTTTTTATATTCTGACGACTGCAACTGTCAGAATACTAAAAACTAAATCAGAAAAAAAACCTGTAGATAGCAAAGAAGCTATTGCTTCCTGTGCTATCTGCCATCATTTCAGGGGGGTGCTCTCTCCCAGCCCCCCTAACCCCCCTCCGCGGATGGGGGGGGGCGTAGAGGGCACCTCCCTGAAATGAGAAGGACACCTCCCTGAAATGGCTTTTTTTTCAGGTTGGGATCCCTGCTGTTGTTTATTTACATTCCACGCTGAAAATCCTCTATTCTTATTTCCCATCAAAACAGGAAGAGAGGGAAATCTTGGAATGGGGATACTTAGGCTTCATTTACACTGTCCACTGACATTTTTATGCAGAGATCTGTCGGCAGAATCTATCAGGCTGGATGCCTCATGCACACGGGGGTAACACGGGCCGTACACGTCTGTGCGGCATGCACACCTGTAACAGGCTGATCCCGGGAGGGACAGGTGCTGCGTGTGAATGCGCACAGCAGCAGCCTGTTCTTCCCTATGGGAGGACGCAGCCATATGCTGTCACCCGCACACCCAAACTGCACATCCGTGCGGGTCCGGTTGTCCGTACTTGGACGCAGACAGGATGCATGTTTGGGTGTGCGGATGACAGCTTACAGCTGCGTCCTCCCATAGAGAATATCAGGCTGCTGCACGCATTCACACGCAGCACCTGTCCCTTCCGGGATCGGCCCGTTATGGGCGTACAACGCCGCAGGGACATGTACGGTCTGTGTTAGCCCCGTGTGGATTAGGCTTTATGTTTCTAGATGCTTAAGATGTCGCACATTTGCACGCATATGCTTTTGGATGCATCTGTACTTTATCCATAGATACAGGCCATTGATGTAGCCAATGAGATTTCAGCAAATAAATGTGCCTTGCATTTACATGCGTTTTGGTACATTTGGAAGTTGGAGTCAATTCTGGGTTGCACGTGACTGCAGATAAAAGTGAAGTGAATAGATCCATTTGAAATCATTAGATGCATATATATGCCTTTAGAAAACCATTTTAAATGCATATAAACACATCCAATCCCACCTAATGTGAATGTAGCTTTATTCCTGTAATAAATGTCTTAAAGGGGATTTCCTGCACATTGGAAAACTGTGCTCTCGTTTCCTGTTGATTCTACAGGACAGGAAGTGAAATCTCCCTAATGAAAAAGAGTTTCCCCTAGGGTCCATTCACACCATATCTGGATCATCTCCAGACCAGACTGTTTCCAGACCCAAAATGCATCCCAATGTATCCCTATGCTATTTCTGGCCTCTGTTCCAGACCAGAAATACTGCTTGTCCTATTTTGGGTGGTCTGGAATGCACTGGAACGTACCTGTAAGACTATTTTAAGCAAACTAAAAAAAAATATAGATAAATAAAAGAATTCCAAACGCTGCAAAATCACAGTAAAAACGCAATGCGTTCCTGATCTGGTCTAGAAAATGGTGTGAACCTGCTCTTAATCCAGCCCTGGACAGAACACTGCTCCTAGTCATCCCTACATTTCTCATTGCACTCATCTGACATTAAAACATCTCACAAGAACTCTTTGTGCAAGTGTAAAGAACTCGGGGCATTACAATTAAAGCGCACAGGGCTGACCAGGCGTGTGTTCTATACCAGTGGCATGGGTCAGCCCTCAGATTATAGCCTAGATTGCCAGTTATTTTATATCCAATCAAAGCTGCACTGGCCAATACACCTGAGGACAGGGCGGCTGCCTTGGAAGCTCCGCCCAGTCCCAGCACCACCTCCCCTAATGTGGGTGCTTACTCTGTAACCTCAGGACTTGGAGTTGGTGATTGCCTTCTGGTGGTGGGCTTAGATGGTTGGAGAAGAGGATGAGGAATGGGTTTGGTGCTGCAGTCATCCTATGTGTAGGAATGAGATGTCTTCTTGCCCTGCGAGTGTATACAAACAGCTGGGCTGTGCAGGTTGATGGGGGCCCCGAGGAGGTGGAGAAGATTGCCGGGAAGTTAGGCTTTATCAGCCTAGGACAGGTGATCACACTCAGGATGGCTATTGCCAGCCACTTCAACTCATTTGTAATCCTTTTCTGTTGTACCACAGCTAGGGATTACATAATTGCAGGGTTGGCTCTGGTTATAGTGGGCAGTGCAGACAGTTCACATTTCATTTAATAAATAAGGACCATGCTGTGTAACTGCTAAGACCAGTGTTTTCAAGCTATCTGATTTCAAGAGACAGACCCAGATTTTGAAGATGTTGTCCCTGGAATGGTTATTGAAAGGTTTCTAAACCCTCAGCGTGTTTTTGCATATACAGTATCTACTGCTAGCAAGCAGTAGATATATGCAACAACTTAAAAAAAGGAAAAAAAAACCTTTTTGAAACAGGTTTAAAATTACCTGTGTCTTCGCCGCGCGCTCCCGTCCGAACATCTGAAAATGTATCGGGCGGGCGCATGTGCAGTTCAGATGGTCGGCTGGGAGACGAGGAGAGACACAAGGTAAGTATATGGAGCAGCGTACACCCCCCACAGATCCCGTGGGACATGAAGTGCCAGCTAGCACAGAGGAGTCAGCGCTGGAGGGACAGCTGAAAATGACAGTAAGCAAGAAGATGATCGGATTAAGATAATTTAAGGTAAGTCCCTACACTAACATTGGGGAGGGGGAAGAAATCCTTTGTCACTTTAACTCTATATTTTGTCTGTCAGAAAGTATTGCTTTGAATAGAAAAAGCTTACAAAAATCTAACATGTTACTCTTCAAATTTGTCTTTTCAGTCACTTTTTTTAGAATGGGAATCCTAAAGTGTAGCACAAACCAAAAATCTCTTGTCTTTTTAGTAATGGCCAGCTCTTTGGTGCAATACATGTTACCTACAATTTGTATCAGTTAAAGCGGAACTGTGGTCCAACTATAATGTCTCTTATGTAATGTAGGCTGCCCATACCAGTTAGACCGGGCTCTCTGTTTTTCGAAGTATACTCTGAAACATTTTGTAAATACCTGTTGATCCTGATAGTAGAATCATGGTACAGGAACTTCCTTTGATAAAGTGACAACAGTCTTCCCTTTGCAGTAAAATCTCTGCAGTGTTGTCACCCTTGCTGCATGGATGTTGGCACCTTGATGGCCCCATCAGTGAATGGCAACACCTAACTCTGTCTACAGTCTTTAGAATTGACAGCACATTGCTTTAATTGTATGAACTCATGTAAATGCTCTGCTTGAGGGTACGTTCACACCAAATGCAGTGTGTTCCAGTCCGATTCTGGCCGGAACACACTGCCTGCGGCCGGCTCATTTTTTGGTGTTTTGGGGGGGGGTGTGTGGTGGGCTCTTAAAGTGAATGGCACCGTAGCCACGCCCTCCGGCCGCAATGCGATCGTCCGCACGGGATCGCAAGGCACATTGTGCCTGCAGTGCGGTCCGATCAAAATGCTGCAAGCACTATTTTGATGGGACCGGACTGCAGGCACAATACGCATTGCGATCAGGTGCGGACGACCGCATTGCGGCCAGAGGCCGTGGCTACGGTGCCATTCACTTTAATGGCCCGCCACGCCCCCTCCTGCCCCACCAAAAAGTGAACCGGCCGCAATGCGATGCAGTGCGTTCCGGCCAGAATCGGACCGGAACGCACTGCATCTGGTGTGAACGTACCCTAATACTTTCCACCCCCTTCAGTGCTGTCTAGCCAGGGTGCAGGTGATATATAGCTTATCAGCAGCATTTACAATTAAAAAATAGGGGAAACTACTTTTAAGGCCTTGTTCACACCAAGCGCGGAGCAGGTGCAGAGCAGATCAGTTGCAGACCGGATCAAAACTGCGTCCAATGTATTAAATGGTATTTTTTGCTCCAGTTCACATCGCAGCGTGCAGGTCCAGAGCAGGTGAAAAAACTGCAGCAGGCCCTATTTTACCTGCTCTGGATCTGCAAACGCATCAAAAATGCATCAAAAACGCATGCAAATGCCTTGAACGCACTGAAAGCCCATTTTAAACTTCAAGATGCGTCAAAAACGCATCTAAAAGACTAGCGTGCGTGTGCAGAAACCTGACCGGATCTGCTCTGCATTTGGTGTGAACAAGGCCTAAGACATTTAACTTGAAATGTCTGCCTATCACTGTGAAAGGAAAAAGCTAAAGGCATGCTGATTCACACCATGTGCATTGGACCTGTGCTGGTTGTTTCCTGCGCAGCCCCTACACAAGAAAAGGCAATTTGCCATGTCACGAATGGTGTGCATTCACAACACCGAGTTGCAGTAGGAACGCGGTGGTGTGCACTGAAAAAACTTAAGTCATGCCTTACTTTTTTTTCAACGCAGTGGAATGCCATGTGGAATGTGGCACGTGGAATGAAATAACATTTCAATAAAGTTCTAACAAAAAAAGTACATAGGGCGATGCGCTGGGATCAGCGCTTTGGCCAGGAATGGATTTACTCTCTCTGCTGCCCCAATTCCAGGTTCCTCAATGCGCCCCCCCTGTATGCAGGCTGCATACAAGTGATCTCGGCAACATCACCAAGATCACTTGTACAAAACAAGCAGCAGCTTCCCCGCTGTACTTCTAGCTCTTTTCTTTCAGCAGTTTTTGATTGCAGCAGCTTGCAGAGTGAGTTTTCTACTAATATTGCAAAACATTGGCGGTACTGTGTGATGAGGACACTAACTTGTTGCTACAACTTTTTGCATCAGTTCGGGAAGCAAAGATTTCCTTTTTTTTTTTTTTTGGAAGACTGCCAATATCTGGCTGCAGACATTATGGTGGAATGGACTTTAGCATCACTTGGCTAATCTACTATACAGTTACAAAGTCCGCCTTTGTTCAAAGAAGAATTCTGATGGCAGAGCAGTTCAATTTTGACCTAGGTTTTGAAACTGATACAGTTGCTAGTGGATCGATACCAGATACTCAGAATCATTTGTTTTCTCTGTCCACAATGCTTTAGGCTGGCTTCAGACCACTGCCATGGATTACTGCACACATTAAAATGCGTTGCATTAAGGCAGCCAATTCATTTTGAATTGGCTGCCATGTACTTTACACCAGAGCTGACCCTTTTTGACATGTTATCATGCGTTATGGCATGTTTCAATGCAGGTGCGTTGGGGAGCCTAAACAGCACCCTGAAAAATGTTTGCTTGCAATCCCTCTCCCCAAGAAATCAATGTACTTACTGTGTCTTAAAGAGATCCTGTCAACAGACCAATTATTTTAACAAAAATATTCCCGTGAGATTATATGTGCATGTACTGTATTTTATCCATTGTGCAGACATCCAGAAGCATTGAGAGTGCTGCTCCCATCTTGGATGTGATGTAAACAGCCCCAGAAGATACAAGTGACACTCTATAGGGTTCCCCTTCGCCCTTCTTCACTACCTAAACAGGTCATGAAGAGAGTAGGGTGGGGGAGCTACAGCTTGCGGTATACTGAGACGCCGCAGCTGAAGCGGATCCCGACAATTATGTCTGGATCCGCCCAGCTGCGTGAGTGACAGCTGGCTCTGCCTATCTAGAGGCAGAGCCAGCTGTACTCGCCCCCTCCTTCATGAAGAGAGTAGGGTGGGTGAGCTACAGCTTGCGGTATACTGATACGCCGCAGCTGAAGCGGATCCCGACAATTATGTCTGGATCCGCCCAGCTGCGTGAGTGACAGCTGGCTCTGCCTATCTAGAGGCAGAGCCAGCTGTACTCGCCCCCTCCCCCGTCCGTTCCGCCAGTCAGCGCTGGAGGATCGGAGTGGGGAGGGGGGAATCCAGCCCCTCCCCTGTCACGGCAGAAAGCCGTGACAGGATCGAGAAGTGAGCGAACGCCGGTATGTGTTCGGTCAGTTCCTGATCTACTGAGCCGACCTGTGACAGTCTCATTGTCACAGGTCGGCTAGAACTATGAGGTGAGTGAAAAGCACTCACCTCATAGTTCTCCTTTAATTTGACATCCTAGCTACCGCTCAACTTCTCAACCTAACCTCCTCTTTTGATCTAGGACAATGGACACGCACTCCTACTCACTCTGATGGCAACAACCCTTGACCTTGTACTCAATGGCCTATGCACTCCTTTACAATCTTTCCAACACCTCTTTTCCTCTTTGGACACAACCTTATCAGTTTCAGACTCTCTCTTTCTTCATCCCTCCAACAACAAACCTATTTTTAGAAACTTTCGCCACTTTAACCCTTCTCTTCTATATTCTGCTACTGACTATATCTGCAACAAAATCTCACTACTGTCCTTCCCTGGCTGGCCACTTCTATCTACAACAGCTTGTTCTCATTTTCCCTGAAGACCCTTTCTACCCTCACTACACACAAAATTCAGTCCCCCAACTGTTACAACGCTGGAAACTAAAAGGGGAGGGGGGAATCCCTGCAGATAATGGAGATTGACAGTCACTGCTCTCTGCAGGGAGAGGATTGGGAAGTTCAGGAATAGCAGCATGTGTTTGCTGACTTCCCGATCAATAGAGCCGACCTGTGACAGCTTCAGTGTCACAGGTCGGCTTGAATTTTGGGGATGAGTGTTTTTCACTCACTGCATAATTCTCCTTAAATTTAAATGCTTACAAAAAACAACCTAAATTGGTCTGTTTGCCTGCAAATGCTTTTTCTTTTTTTTTAATTGACAAATCATTTCTTTTATTCCCAAAAAGCAATTATTGCTCTGTACAGAATATGCACAATACTTTTGTGAACGTATACAATATTTCGATAGACAGGTTTGCTTTTTTTTTAAAATGCAGTTTACTTCCTTGTAATCTGGACCAGGGGAAGAAAATAGCTGCTTCCATATGAGCCTTCACACGGAGGAATTTTGCTTTGTGACAGATTCCCTTTAAACACACTTAGAATTTTTGGCCTACTTTGCCAGTGACTGTTACATTTGCACCTTCTAAAGCCAGCTGCAATTCAATTATATGGATAATATTTTTATAATATGAGCAGGACCCGCAGTGAGGAGGTGAGTGTCAAGTGCTGCCTGACAGTTTCTAAGCAAGGCTCAAAACTTATTGAGTTTGCAAAGTGTTTACAGTTGAGCTATCTTTTATAGCTTGTGTATTGAGTTTGAAATAACTTGATAGCCTGTGATTGTGGCACCATGACTTATTGGCTAGAACATTTCCTATTGGATGAATACTTTTTAATTGCCTTTTTAAATTACCGGTAATTATAAGTGTGATCCCACGTCAATCACTTTTTTCATTTATGTTTGAAGTTTTTATAAACTCTAAGCCTCCATTCACACCTATATTTTAGCTGCGATTAGGGATTCCTTCGTCAGGAGCTTGCAATTTCCTGCAGCAGGAATCGCTAATCTACAAGTTGCCACTGTCACCCATTTGAAAGCAGCAGAATGCTGACACACACTGCATGTGATACGATTACATGCAGTTAGGAATCAATCATATACCTGGAAGAAACGATGGTGATTAATGTTTGTTGTGGAGATGGAAGACTGGGTAGGTCTTCGTAGTTTACCAAAACAAAGCAAGGAATGGCTGACAACACTTAGTACAAAAATGCTGGGTGTTGTCATCCCGCAACAGGACTTGGGAGCCAAGTGAATTGCTGGCAGATCAACAGGTATTTTTTTTGTAGTTGCAGGGTCTTCTTAAAGGGACGTGGTATGGAAATGTGTAAAATGTATATGTATTGTAAACATGTACTGCATATGTTGTGGTTTTTTGGGGGGGTGATTTTGTCCTGACATACACTTCAAGTCCCGTATGGTGTATCCTGTATTCAGGTTATCCTTGGCAGTGATTTATACCATTTGCAGCATCGTGGAGTGCTAAGAAAATCTTTAACCCCTCACCGGAGCAGGCACATAAGACTGAAAAAGGAACCTAAGGTAACTTGTAGATTAAAGCAGAACTCTAGTATGGTGCAATCTATATTTCTATACTACCCCTTCCGTTTTCTAACATTTATTTGAAGTTTTCTACATTTAACATTGAAAGAAAAAGAGGTCATATCTTTGGTCTTTTCATCTTGCTTTGCACTGGCTCATAGGAGGAGTCGGCACATCCCTGCAGTGACGCCCACTTAACAGTGATAGGCATAATGTCTGCAAAATGTCAATCTAAACTAATACACATGTCCTTCCCTAAATGTGAACTGCAGAAGACCCTAAGCCTGATCCTGTGGGTTACACGTGTTTGCAGTCCAGTTTACACTGCATAGCATAATACATTAGTCTGAGCTCCCCTTCCATACTACACTATGGATAATACTAGTAAAATAAGGAACACAGCAAGTCCTTTCTGCGAACCAAGAAATACCAGTGCAATCACACCTATCAAGCCAACTTACAGTATATTGTTAACTGCTGTTCCTTATTCCTAGGACTGAATGTGCACATGGGACAGGGTGTGCTGTAACTCCTTCCAGATAAAATTGGCTCTATGGAAGTTGTTTTCACCCCATAGGACACAGCAGCTGTGACGGACACTTCTTGAAGCCCAAGGGGGGTGTCAGAGACCGTCTAAAGATGGCCATACTCCTATAGATTATCTGCAGATTTTCTGTGGTCACATTGAAAATGTGCAACAGATTCCTTTTACGCTAAAATGTGTGGATGGAGGAACCTCCTCCTGGACCAAGCTTCAGTATCTTGCTAGTCAGCCCCGCTGGCTCTCAAAACACATGAACAATGCCTGCATCCAATCAGATTGTTCAGCTTAGTAAGCTGGTGTCTACTTGCAGGTAAACTTCCATTCCAACAGTGTTGCTACTTTAAATCGCCTCGCTGTAGATCAGAAAAGTCTTAGATATACTGTTGAAATTACATGAATCACTTCTCCAGGAGTCTCAGGATAACATTCATCTAACATTCATTCAGCGCAACAAGTTTATTAAAAATTGAAAATGAAAGCCATTAAAATCGCTCACACAGTATAAGTGCTGTTCCAGCACTAAGGTATGTCAGCTCAATCTCTCTCCGGCTGTGATACTCCACACATCTAGCTCTGTGTGTGCGAGCTCCCGCCCACCACTGCATGATGACTTCACAGTGTCGGAGCCCCTCCCAACGCACGTAGTCACAGATGGACTTCTTCAGGAGCAGTAACAGTGCTGTCACAAAGCATTGATCATTTGCATACAATGTTGCGCAGATACATTAACCCCTTATTTTCCAGACAGTACTGCAACAGTTGTATAAATAAATACAATTCTGGAAATAAAACTTGCAGTACAAATATGTACATTATTGGCACAACAGCAGTGTTAAAAAAAAACCCATAGCAAGTTTTACCAGGCATACTTATAAACAATATATGGTAACATTATTAAATAAAAAAAACCCTTGGCAAGTTTTTTTTTGGCTTTCTTTTTAAAGGGGAACCCCCAAATACCAATATAATGCATGATTGGGTTTGGATTATTCCTTCTCATTTAACCCTTTTGGTGCCCCCGGAAGTAGACTTTCACAGGCTGTCAGATTTGCACCTCCACAAACCCCTTCCCTACCGCTCCGGCTATGTATCACGGGCTACACTGCCGGGGAGCAGCATGGCAGGAGTGGGTTGCTAACAACCGGGAAAACCTGACATGGATGACCTGTTGTTTTATGCAGACAGGAAGGGAGGGCAAATCTCTCCAAAGGAGAAGACGTGCTCACTTCATGGCCATAAAATACTTGAAGGGCCTTCTCCAGGATGTGTGCCAATTTTCCTCCTACATTCCTTATCTAACCTTTTTTAGAAATTATTTTTATCTTTATACATTTTCCTTCCATTCTCTCTAAGCTATGTTTTTTTAATCAGTTCATTTTTTTATGTATGTTATGTATCTGATTCTGCATATAAGTTTGCTCTTTGTTCATATTCTCCAAGCTCCTGTCTCCATTAAGCTGATTTACAATCTCTACTATCCATATGAGCCTTTTAGACCACCTCATCAATGTGATAAGTGTTTGCAGTCCCACTCAGAAGCAGTATGAGAAGCCTGCTGAATCTGGCTAAATTAGATTATATAAAACCTAGATTAAAGGGAAACTGAATAGCTGTTTACTGGCAATTTTTTGCAGGTGCAGTGGCTTGAGCAACAGACTCTGAAGAAAAGGACTAAAAGACACAGTGTGGTGCCTACGGATCCCTTGTTCCATAAGCAGTGGTACATGGTAGGAAGCTGTTGGCAGCAAAATTATAGATAATTGATCGCCTAATAACTGTATCAGAATAAAGAATGTAAAGTCCTTATTAAACAAAGTCCTTCAATGAAGGCAAGTTTAAAGTAAATCTGTCACAAATTTTTAAATGAATACCTGGAAATGGAAAGAGAGTGCTGGTTATTAAGACTGGCTAAGACCCGTGTGATTTTATTATTTTGGTGTTTATCACCCAATAGTGGTTAAGTGATGTGCATATATGTAATCTGGCTAATGGATAGGCAGCGATCACTGGCCTAAGGGTCTCCATATTGTCCTTCGCTTAAAAGCGAACACAGTAGATGTAGAGATTGAAGCACCAATTTAAAATAATACAGATACAACTTCATTCCAGTAGGGTCGGGGGACAGTTGATTAGAATAGCCAACGTGTTTCGGGGGTCCCAAACGCCTCCCCCCCCCTTCACCAGGGCTTGAAATTTGTATTGAGCCATGATGGAAGTACTTCAGGCTTGTCAGCACCTGGTTTGGCACCCCATACAACAGCTCAATACAAATTTCAGGCTGCAAGGATTGTAGTCAACATATATAATATTTCGCTCATCAAGCCCTGATGAAGGGGGTGTGTTTTGGACCCCCAAAACACATTCGCTATTCTACTCTCTTGTCCCCTGACCCTAGTGGAATAAAGTTGTATCTGGACTATTTAAGTTGGTGTGGCGTTTCAATTCTTACATCTACTATATTCACTTTTAAAGGAGAACTATGGGGTCAGGGTTTCTCCCCATAGTTCTAAGGGTAACGGGAGGACACAAACTAGCGTCCTCCCGTCACCCTAAGCTCAGCTCGCGGTATACTGAGACGCCACAGCTGAAACGGATCCCGACAATCATGTCTGGATCCGCCCGGCTCCGTGAGTGACAGCTGGCTCTGCCTATATAGAGGCAGAGCCAGCTGTACCCGCCCCCTCTCCCGTCCGTTCCGCCAGTCAGCGCTGGAGGATCGGAGGGGGGAATCCAGTCCCTCCCCTGTCACGGTTCTCTGCCATGACAGGATCGAGAAGTGAGCGAACGCCGGTATGTGTTCGCTCACTTCCCGATCTACTAAGCCGAACTGTGACAGTTTCATTGTCACAGGTTGGCTAGAACTATGAGGATGAGAGAAAATCACTCGCCTCTGATACTTCACTGAAGGTTTACTGCTACTTTAATCAAACACAGTGCCAATAAAGGAAAACAATGTCTGTAAACATACAGGTAGATGTGCTTCTTGTTAAACCGTACTGGTAAAAATATGGGGGCTGCCATGCATATATATTTCTAAAAGGATTGTCTAGCTGACTTTTGGCTTCATTCAAACGGCACAATTTGGGATTCCTGTGGCAGGAATCCCAAATGTCCCATTTAGATGCAGCTGCTGTACCTGTTGAAGTTAATGACTGGGTGACGGCAGATAGATGCCAGGGATAAAGATCTATTCCAAAACATGTAATCGTATCGTATACGATTACATGCGGACTGCCGCTTACCGCTGTCATCAAGTTATTAACTTGGAACGGGTACAGCGGCAGGATCTAAATGGGACAGTGTAATCGCCCAGTGTAAATGAAGCTTAAAGTATAGTATACATGGGACTAATTTCAGCCGATTCCTAATGAACTAGCCAAATTTGCACAGTGGGTGCCGCTATCGGCACCCTTCTGCCTGGAATCCCTTAATCAGCTGATCAAAGGAGCGGGTGGAAAATTTTGCTGCCAATCACCTGGTAACTCATTTCAGGTATTCTTTTTTTTTTCCCCCTCACTATTGCAAATAAACCAAAGTATAAAGGATCATATATGTATGCAGCTGGCTTTCAGTGGTAATGGTTTCAATGGCAATGTGTCTGAAATGAAACGGTCTGTTTTTATAATTGTGGGCAACTTGGATGCCTTGCTTCCCCCCTCTATTCCTTATGAATACAGTGTCATTAGTTTACATCTTTCTTTTAGTATGAAATAGTGTTTTGGATCTGATTTACAGAACAATGACATTAGTCCAGACTTGAATGTGATAACTGCATGGCGTCATGGCTTCTCAGGACAAGGTGTGGTGGTGACTATTATATATATATATTATTTTATAGTAATATAAAGTATATATTATAGAATAATGATAAAGATTAGCATTGGGAGTCCAGATCTCATATTTATGACCAGAGAGAACAGCACACATCCTTGTTTGGTCTAGAACAGTATTTCTCAAAATTTTTGAGTCCTGCCACACTTAAACTACGCAGGATTTCTGGCACTGCTTCCATGTGTCCTGCAGGTGCTCCTTGCCTGCACATTCTGAGGCCCTGGTCCTACCTGCATTAGTCGGACACCAACAAGTCACCCGACTGAATCTTGGCAACCAATAACGTCATCCATTGCTATGGAAGATGTCGGCAGCCATAGTTTTAAACTGTGCAGTCTGTAATAACTTATTTTTTTGGTTCCATTTCGTCATAGCACACTATTTGAGAATCACTGGTGCAGAAACAATAATTATGAAATCACTACTTGACGCACCTAGTCCTACTGATGGCTAAATAATTCCATATCTGTTTTAATGACTTTACTTATTCCAGAATATGCAACATCTCCCTCATAAACATAAGACATACATTCATGTTAGCCTGTTTTTTGTTTTTGTTTTATCTCCATAACAAGCTGAAATGGCAAATAAATAGGGCATATCATCAATGGCATTGGTGAAAAGGCCTATTGTGTGGTGAACATACAAATTTTGTTCAGGTAAAGCTTTGTCAGGCAGAAATATGATTTTATTGTGTCTGTCTTAACCCTAATTACATGTATTTTCTTCAGGATAGCAAGGCAAGCTTTGATTTCAACAATAATGACCCTGATCCACAGCCACGATATACTTCATCTAATGAGAATAGGTGAGCACTATATTTATTTTTCATGAGTTTGTTAACAATATCAAAAACAAAGAGATTACACAGCAACAAAAAGGAAGTAGGGGGTAAAGAAAGCAGACACCCATGCTATAATGTGGTGGTCTTCTAGTATCAATATAAGAGGCATACAATCTGTACCACAAAACATAGATTATAGTGAATCTTATTATGATGGGGAGTCAGCTATAGTGTGGGGGAAGGAGGTCCACAGTCTCCAAACCTTGTCAAAGAGAGCAGGTTGGGGGGGGGGGCGTGGCTTGGCAATGGCGGAGTGAGGAAGCACATTGCCTGAGCTCTGCTATCTCCGGGGATATTCAGAAGATCACGGCATCTTTCGACCCAATTTTCGATGTCACAGAAGAGGAAATCCAGGTCTAATAACAGTCGGCGCTCCCTGACATCATTACAGCGGTACCTTTCCAGCCAAGCGCCATCGACCCGCATTGGGGGGGGGGCTTCCACTCTGTCCAGGGGGGTGGTGGCCTCTGAGCTGGGGAGTCTGGGCGTGGAAAACGGGGGTGACCAGGTGCCTGACCGTGGCTGACCCCTGGTGTCCAGGCATGCATAGAAGGTGATGCATTAGGGACCAACCACGCCGGGAGTGCTAGGGTTCATTGGCGGGTGGATCAAGGGAGCGGGCGTCCCACGGGGGCTCGCGGATGGAATGGGGGTTCATACTTGCGAGGTCTTTGTAACTAGTTGTCGCCAGTTATCAAAGTCTCCTTGAGTGACCAGTGGCACGGCGTCGACAGGCTCTGCATTGTGATATCCGTCCGGTCCCGATTCGGCAGGACAGGGCTCTCCTAAACTGTCTCAGAGTTAGGGTTCACTAGAGGTGGGCGTAGGGTGGGATACCCTAGGTCTGTTCCACGATGTGCTTCGTTGGCGCCTGCGTTGAGGAAGAGGCCGATGCTCCGCGTCCAGGTCCAGGCATCTCCACAGGTGTCACTCCCAGGAATGAAAAGAGGTCAGCCAACTGGGCCGGATGTCGCAGGATGAAGGAACGGCCATTTCGGCGCACAGTCAAGCTAAAGGGGTACCCCCAAGTGTAGAGGCATCCAGCCCGTCTGATTTCGGCAAGGAGGGGTTGTAGTAGCCGCCGCATGTGTAGCGTGCGGCGGGACAAGTCTGGTAGTAGAGTTATGTCGGCCCCATCAAAGGGGACTGGGCCCTTCTGCCACGCTTTGCGCATCACGGTTTCCTTTACCTCGAAAAAATGGATGCGGCATAATACGTCCCTAGGCCGGGGGTCACCGTCTGTCCTGGGGCCTCCCACGCGGTGGACTCGGTCAATCTCCAGGGCGGAATCTGGTGCCCTGTCCAGTACGGTGTTGAGGATGGCCATCACTGTGGGACGAAGGTCCGCCGCACCCGTGGCCTCCATCTCTTGCTTGTACGAGGCACTACCTTCCTTCCCGCACTCCGCTCCTGTCCTCCCCTTCCCACATTCCCCTGCTCACCGGACAGTCCTCGTGTCTTGCTGAGATGTCTTGCCTGCGGGTCTTATCCTTGAACGCTAAAGGCCTCAATTTACCGGAAAAATGAACCATGCTCCTCCGGGATCTTCACCGTCAGGGCGTTGACGCAGCGTTCATTCAAGAAACCCACTTTCGAGTAGATCAAATTCCCCGCCTGAGCGACCACCGTTACCCTACGGTTTACCACAATGGCTCGTCTGACAAACGCTCTAGAGGAGTCAGCATCATACTGTCCCGCTCACTCCACTGGACCTTGACTGACCAATATGCTGGGGAAGAGGGCCGGGTACTGTTCGTAAAGGGGACAATTGGGACCCAGATGGTCACCTTCGCAAATTTATACCTGCCCAACCATGACTAAATCTCCTTTCTGATACGTAGCCTGGACCTTTTGGCAGACTTCCGGGTAGGTCTCCTGGTGTTAGGGGGAGACTTTAATTTTGTGCTAGACCCAAATTTAGACTCCTCCGCGTCCTCCTCCCACCTCTCTTTCGCTAAGTTGAACCG